GGAAGGTTTTAAGAAGAGACTGGACAGCCATTTGTCCGAAATGGTATAGCGTCTCCTGCCTGAGCAAGGGGTTGGACTAGAAGACCTTTAAGAGCCCTTCCAACTCTATTCTGATTGACAGACTGACTGACTGATTGATTGAAAGGGGCTTAGTGATAACACGTAACAAAATAACATTTGTTCAAGAACACAGCCTTTGTCTAACTCAGTGGTAGGCAACCTTGGCTCGTTTATGACTCGTATGGACTTCAACTCCCAGAATTCCTGAGTCAGCCATGCTGAGGGGAAAGGGAGAGGTTTCCAAGCTGAGCCATGCTGGCTCAGGAATTCTGGGAGTTGAAGTCCACGAGTCTTAAAAGAGCCAAGTCTGAAGACCCCTGTCGTAGACAGTCACTTCTCTGAAATGGTATAGGGCAGGGGTAGGCAACCTTGGCTCTTTTATGACTCGTGGACTTCAACTCCCAGAATTCCTGAGCCAGCATGGCTCAGTTTGGAAATCTCTCCCTTTCCCCTCAGCATGGCTGGCTCAGGAATTCTGGGAGTTGAAGTCCACGAGTCATAAAAGAGCCAAGGTTGCCTACCCCTGGTCTAACTGAACCAACTACTGTCTTTGTGGTGCCTCTCTCGTTTTAGTGCAGGGACGTGGCCAGGCCCTCATCAGAGGTCAACACTGATTCCGGCACAAACGTTAAAAAAAAAAAGTGAGAAGGAAATAAAATGAATTAAGTCAGTAAACCCAGGGTAGAAGCTCCATAGCTGGTGACATACGGTTCTTCCATTGTGTTTGTGGACTTTTTTTTTTTTTTGCAGTTGAATGTTCCGAGTTCTGAACAAAAGCCCAAGATTCTGTTAAAAAGGAGAAGATGAAGGTGTGGTATTGCTGTCGGAAAGTCACCCTGTACTTGTTTTTCTTCTTCAATCACCTTTTCTTTATCTTGGGGGCGCTGATGGTCGGGATTGGAATCTGGATTTTGGTTGACCCAAAGTCCTTCTTTCCCATCCTGCAGAACTCGGCACCGTCGTTCCAAGCTGGGCTCTACGTCTTCATCGTAGTCGGTGCCATCACCATGGTGCTTGGCTTCCTGGGGTGCGTAGGCGCTCTTTTTGGCATCCAGTGTGCCCTTGGCATCTATCTCACCTGCCTGTTGCTCATCCTCTCGGCCCAGATCACCGCTGGTCTGATGATCTACTTCCAACAGAGCTCGCTGAAAGCCAGAATGTCCGAGGTGGTGATCGATCTCTTCCAGACGTACGACCCTTCCGATGAAACGAACCAGGTCCTCGAGTCCGCTTGGGACTTAGTTCAATCCCAGTTCTCGTGCTGCGGCTGGACCGGACCCGAAGACTGGCAACTCAACAAAATCCTCTGGAACAGCAGAATGCATTTCTATCCGTGTTCTTGCAGCAACCGGACCGAGGACGCCTTGAGAGGGACGGGCTTCTGCGCTCCGGAGACCGATTCGAACACAACCACTGTGGCCGACTGGCCCGTGAAGAAGCAGGGGTGCGGGACGGTTATGCAGACCTGGTTGCAGGAAAATTTCAACGTCTTTGTCGGGATCTGCGCGGGGCTGGCCATCACGGAGCTACTGGGAATAGGTCTCTCTCTCTGCCTTTGCAAAGGCAAAACATGCCAATAATGAAGGCGGCACCCCCCCCACCTGGAATCTGGATGGCATCCACGAGGAAAGAGGCAACTGGATTCCTTATTCCAGACGGTGCTTGGCAGTCCCCGCTGGGGCATTAGCCCAACATCTCTTCCTCTACTTATCTTGCTCCTTCCACCTGTGTAAGCCAAGAGCACAAAGGGATGCAGAAGTTCTGAATGGCATTGCTTTCAGCTTTTATTCACCACCATAATAAGATCGAGGATGCTCTGTAAGCCTTACAGACACCCCTTTCGCTGGGTGCCCACCTTCTTCCTTTTATGCAATTTGGATCAAGCTGGGAGATTAGACGGGTGGGCTTCTTTCGCAATTATTCGTAACTTAGGCCGGTTCGTCCAAATTATTCTCAAGTTATTCAGACGCTGCTCTTAAGGCTGACTTCCTCAATTCTTACTGGAAAGTCTCTTCGGCCTGGAATCGTGTCCCTTGCTCCGTTTCTCCAATTTTTTTTTTAAAAAATAAAGTATCGGCTGTACAACTTTCTTTCTCTTCCTGTTTGGTGTTCGGGATGTCCATCAGATCAAAGGATAGGTCAGCTTCAAAGGAGAGTCTTTGAGGATCGCGGTGTGGAATATCTGAAGTTTTCCTGGTTTTGTTCATTGGAAGGCCATTTATTTTTGTTGTACAGGTAATCCTTGACTTACGGTCATTTGCTTAGTGACCAAAGTTACCACAGCAGGGCTTTTCAACCAGTGGTACGGATACCACCTGTGGTACATTGGCACCTGGCAGGTGGTACGCGACCATCCTAGAAAAGTGGTAGCGGGGGAGCGAATGAGCTGAACCGGTGGCAGCACCGCACAAGCCTGAGCGAGAGACGGCTGGAGCTGCAGGGCTATCAGGGCTCAGCGGAAGCGCCATGATCAGCGCTTCGGGGCTGTCAGGGTTCAGTGGAAGCGCCAGGATCAGCTCTAGGCTCCAGCTGGAGCTCGGCGCTGATCCTGGCGCTTCTGCTGAGCCCAGAAGAAGCACCGATCAGCTGGAATGTTGCAGTGTCTCCATGGTCTTGTGATTTACATTCAGATGCTTGGCAACTGATTCATATTTATGATGGTCACAGTGTCCCAGGATCATGTGAAGTGACCAAAACCTGCTGCAACCACCCAGCAGACGGGGGGAATAAAAACCAAACACCCCCCCACTCCACCCCCGCTGCCAATCCTCAACAGAAATGCTCACAACAATGAAAACCTCAGAAAGGAGGAAGAGCGCGGCTGGGCAGGCAGGCAGGTGTCTTGTGGGGCACTTTTTTCAGTGCCATTGTAACTTCGAACAGTCACTAAGCAAATTGTTGTAAGTCGAGGACTACCTGTACTTTATCACTTTTTTCCTTTTTTTTTTTTTTTGTCATCAGGTTTTGGACACCTTGCTAGGCGACTGGTGGTACTCGGATACTGCCATATCCTAAAAGTGGTACAATGGGTGAAAAGGTTGAAAAGCCCTGTACTACAGTACTAAAAAAAAAAAAAAAGACTTATGACCTGTTTTTATGCACTGCAGTATCTCTATGGTCACATGATCAAAATTTTGGATGCTTGGCAACTGGTTCGTATTGATGACAATTGGACTGTCCCGGGGTCATGTGATCACCTTTTGCGACCTTTTGACTAAGCCAAGTCAATGGGGAAGCCGGATTCCTTTAGTAACTGTGTTACTAATTTATCAACTTAACAATTGTGGCAAAAATAAACAACAGGTTCTAAAATGGGGCAAAACTCACTTAACTGTCTTGCTTGGCAACAAAAACTTTGGGCTCAGGTACGATCGTGGAACAACCTGCCTCCAGAAGCGATTAATGTGCCAACACTGAAACTTTTTAAGAAGAGACTGGACAGCCATTTGTCTGAAATGGTATAGGGTTTCCTGCCTGAGCAGGGGGTTGGACTAGATGACCTCCAAGGTGCCTTCCAACTTTATTATTATTATTATTATTATTATTATTATTATTATTATTATTATTATTATTATTATTATTATTATTATTATTATTATTATTATAAAATACAAGCTAAAAAAAGAAAAAAAATGGAAGGTGCAGAAAATAGAAAAAAAAAAGCTTGGGAGCGCTTGTGGGCGGGTGAGGAACTACAAAGAGCCCATCTGCTTGCCGGTTTTCCATTTTTCTGTGTTTATCAGCTACACTCAAAGGCAGGTTAGAGATGGAGCATGCCTCAAGGGCCTGTCAAGGAGGCACTCCTTTCAGAAACTGTGTGGCTGTACAAGATCACCAGATTTTTTTTTTCTTGGGTTACCAACTTTGGTTAATGAAGATGCAATAACTGGCGCCATTTTTGTCTAAGGCAGGGGTAGGCCACCTGGGCTCTTTTTATGACTCGTGGACTTCAACTCCCAGGATTCCTGAGCCAGCCGTGCTGAGGGGACAGGGAGAGGTTTCCAAGCTGAGCTATGCTGGCTCAGGAATTCTGGGAGTTGAAGTCCACGAGTCATAAAAGAGCCAAGGTTGACTACCCCTGCCTTAGACCAAGGGGTAGGCAACCTTGGCTCTTTTATGACTCGTGGACTTCAACTCCCAGGATTCCTGAGCCAGCCATGCTGAGGGGAAAGGGAGAGGTTTCCAAGCTGAGCCATGCTGGCTCAGGAATTCTGGGAGTTGAAGTCCACGAGTCATAAAAGAGCCAAGGTTGCCTACCCCTTGGTCTAAGGCAGGGGTAGTCAACCTTGGCTCTTTTTATGACTCGTGGACTTCAACTCCCAGGATTCCTGAGCCAGCCATGCTGAGGGGACAGGGAGAGGTTTCCAAGCTGAGCCAGGCTGGCTCAGGAATTCTGGGAGTTGAAGTCCACGAGTCACAAAAGAGCCAAGGTGGCCTACCCCTTGGTCTAAGGTAAACTTGTGTCATTTGAGTACCCAATCTGAGAGATGGGAAGGACTTCTAGAATGGATGACCTTTGGGGGCAAATAATCTAATTATCATCTTGATCTATTTTTTTTTATTTCATCAATTTATACAGCCGTCCATTTTGCGCACGTGACTCTCGATGGCTAACAATTGAAAAATTCCTAAATAGGATAAATAAATAAAAAAAACAAAAAAGAAGAGAATAAAAAAGACCCTTTATATGTATGTATGTATGTACGTATGTGTGTGTGTGTATATATATATATGTATATGTATATGTGTATGTGTATGTATATGTATATGTATATGTATATAAAATAGCAGCCAAGAATATTCATAACATACATACCTTGTTTCTCAACCTTGGTCACTTTAAGATAGGTGGGTTTCAACCCCCAGAATTCCCCAGCCAGCCAAGAATTGAAGTTCAGCCATCTTAAAGCGGGCAAGGTTGAGAAACACTAACATACACATATTCAATGACATACTGATATACTACATTCACAATGAAACAGCCTCGTCCATACTGTCAGGGGCCCAGGCAGGATGACAAAGCTATTTTTTTATGTCCTATAAAAGGCCAAAAGGGATCAGGACAAGTCTAATCCCCGGGGGTGGGGGAGAGAATAATGACACATTTGCATTTGTAATGACCTAGAATTGCGATTACATATAGCATAAAAGTCCAGAATTCATTTTACAGTGTGTGTTTTTAACAACTTTTCTCCACTGCTGAACAGCAATGCCTTAGGACAGTGATGGCGAACCTTTTAGAGACCGAGTGCCCAAACCGCAACCCAAAACCCGACTTATGCATCGTCGGGTGCCGGGTGGGTATGGCCCATTGGCTAGGTGGGCCAATTGGCTGGGCGTGGCCCATTGGTTGGGCGTGGCTGCGGTGGTAAAGGCAGACTGGGTGGGACTAAAAAGTTCAATCAATCAATTCCAACTTTGCAAGATTTGAAATTGACTGATTGAACTTTTTGGGGGTTTTTTGGACACGGCGGCGGAGGCCTAAAGCGAAAAGTTTTATAAAACCCAGCTGAAGGCCTAGGACTGGGATGACGGCGTGCGTGCCCACAGAGAGGGCTCTGAGTGCCGCCTCTGGCACCCGTGCCATAGGTTCGCCACCATTGCCTTAGGAGTTATCAAACCAAATGCTACCTACCAAAGGCGTCCATAAAACCTTAATAGAGAGGCTTAAAGCTGAATTACGAACTCAAAAGGTGTTCAAATACCTGGGAAAATATTC